TACAATTATTTGTACAATAATTACCGCTTTTTACAGTGCCGGCAGTTTATTCAACCACGTGCTAACCGGCTTCGCTTTTGCTAACCACGCTGTGTATTACATATCCGCTTTTATTTAACCAATCCGCTATTGAACTTGTTAAATATTTAGTGTATTTATTGTTAATAAATATCTAGTGTTATTTTTGTTAATAATTTTTGTATTTTAATTGAGATAACCAGACCGAAACCTGATCCTTAGTTTTTCCGCTCTTTCAGCATTTTACAAATAAAAAATCAATTTCAGTTTCGACAAAACTGCTTTTTTCGAAATGTCGAGAGTAGAGCACAACCTCAACGTTTCGCTTATAAGGCGTGCAATAATTCGAAGTTCCGAACTCGTTTAAACTATCCCTGATTAAAAAAAAAGCATTGAAAAGTATTGAAAAAGTATGTAATTCAATACTTTTTCAATACTTTTCACAAGCTGTATATCTATATATACATACACTATAGATATACAGTTGCATGGTTCAATACTTTTTTTAAATCAGGGACTCATAAAATCGTAAATCAAATAATCCATTTATTTGTTGAAAAAAATTCAATCAATCTAATGTCTTTAAATTTGATTAAATAGTTCATAAAACTGCAAATTAAATAATTCATTAATTTGTTGGAAGAAATAGAAAACAATTTAATTTTTCGAGTTTGCTTAAATTTGTTTGAATTATTCATAAAATCGTGGAACTGAAAATTCATATTCACTCAGTATTGAAAGTAATTGGAACCATGAAATTTTAATCATTTTTCAATTTTACTAATAAATGTTGAAAAAGATTTAATTTTTTTTGGTTTGAATTGTTTTGAATATTTTGCAATTCGATGCTCGGAATTCAAAGCAATTGAAGTTAAAGAAGTTTGAATATGTTTTTATTTTCACGGAAAAAAGTATATTTTTTTCACTCAATTTTCCCACCACAATTTTCACTCGGATTCCGGTTAATTTTTATAGTTTCAAACAGTAAAGCGAACATCGAAAATAAGTGACTAGTAGCTGTCACTATAGTAAATAACGACTCTTTCATCTTAAAAAATTACAGTTTCAAACAGTAAAAATTGCCATTTCAATCTATAGTCCATATTATGAGAAGGGGAACTCAGATGAAGAGAAGGGGGTCTCACTCTGGGAGAATTTAACATTTGAAACAGTAAAAATTATACTTTTAAAATATACATTTTACCAGTCCAAGTGTCCAAGCAAGTCAATAATTACAGTTTGATTTTTAGCGTTGCGTTTAAAATTTACCATTTTAGACATTTACATAGCGAATATTACTGTTTGAAATAGTATTTTCTTCATTACTTGTTGATCATTACTTATTATAAATCGACTGTTATTTATTACAGTTTACTTTTTTCCGTGCGGCTTCTAATTATTGAAAAAAATTCAATCTTCGAATGCCTCAATTTCAGTCAATATTTTTCAATTTTATGTAAAAAATTAAAATCAACTTAAACTTTTTTCAATTGTTTTCAATCAATATTGTTAATCAGGATTATTATTAAAAAATTATATGTAGATTTTGATTATCTTTGAACCAGTGCGAGATAATTATCCTAATAGTAAATACACCAAGAAAACTTCTGCAGAACTTCTTTATAGTAATTAATTTAAAAATTTGGTTTTCAACAAATTATAATAGAGAAAATACCCGACTAGAAATTATTTTGGGAATACCCAAGGTACCCATCTGGGCCCCATTGGGTTTCAATGGGGCATGCCCAATAGGGAAATCCCAATGAGGACCCAATGAGAACCCAATTGGGAATTCCCAATTAAAAAGGAAATAAGTTTATTGTCAATTTCTCTAGTTGGGATTCATGTAGGATTTAAATGGGAATACCCAACGTGGAAATAAAAAACTTTTGGCATTTTTTTCCAGTTGGGATTCATGTGGGACCAAAGTGGGAATGCCCAATGTGAAATAACAAAATTTTTACGAGTTTTCTTCTAGTTTGGATTCATATGAGACCACAGTGGGAATATCTAGGGTAAAAATGGAAAACTATCAGTTTTTCAATTCATCACTTGCAAATGCATTATGTGATTATTAGCATATATTTGCTGTAAATTAATTAGGAATACAAATAAAAATTAGCCGTTATAAGTATAGAAAAGAATAAGGAAAAAAATTAATTCAACATTGTTAAACAAAAACAATTAAATTTAGTTAAGCTTTTTCAAATTTTACATAACTTTATGTCTTAAAAAATTTAGTTTTACGAGATTAAAAATAAATTGTAACATATTGGGATGAATTCGAAAAAAATTTTAATCAGAATTAAAATTTAATCCCATCACTCGGAGTTTCGGAGTGAAGTAATTAAGCAATTCGCGCACGGAGTGAATCCGGAGTTTTTTAGCAGCGTCATCCCAGATTAATTTGGGATCAATTTCAGATTAAATCCAAATACTAAGTTGTTAGACTGAAATACATTTTTAATGTTGTTGAAACGAGATTCATACGTAAATTTTTTTCTTTTTACGACAAAAAAAAATTTTCACTGAAAAAAAATTTTTATTTTCAATATGTAAAAATTCAATTTTTGAAGAATATCCAACTTTTGAGGAGATTCACATTTGCAAAAGAATTTGCGTTATAAAAAAAATTAAAATTTTTGATAATGAAATTTTTATCCATATAGGAAAATTTGGTAATTACTTACAAGTGAGGTCAACCCAAACTAAGCTGTGTTAAATTTTTTTTTTTTCATCAAATTGAACAATTGTTTTTTAAATTGTTCGTTTTTTTATGTACTTAGAAAAAATTCAAAAACATCGAAAAAAGATAAAATAGAAATTTTATGCAAAAACATGAAAGCCAAAATTTTTTCTCAACATCAAAGGCAAATAAGCTATTGAAATCTTTATTTTTTTCTTTCACAACATTTTTTTATCATAAATGCACCGTAAAAACAAGCAGATAAAAAAAAATCAAAAATGTAATTTAAAAAAAAATTTGGATTTCAAAAAAATTTTATTTTTCTAAAAAAAATTTTTTTGCTAGTATAAAGAGGATTCCAAATCAATCGGGCAGTTTTAAGGAATTATATTTTTGATTTTTCCAATTTTTAAAAATTTTTCAGTAAAGTTTCTTTTTTAAAATTTTCATTTTCTATTTCGTTTCTACAAAAACTGTAGTTTTAAGTCAGTAAAGTGAATGAAAAAAAAAAATAATTTCTTAAATTTCTAATATAACATGAATATTGTCTCAGTAAATCGCTTAAGTTGATGTATACGAAATAAAATTCCACTGTAACAGTACTCCTGCTTGGACCAGCGGTAACGTGCACGACTGAGGACCCTAAAGACGCAAGTTCGAGCCCAACTCACGCCAAGGATTTTTTCAACCACTAATTCCATTTCCATCAGAGATTAAATTCACTAATGCGTTCTAATATAATATAAGTGTATAATCCTGAAGTATTTTTAATTTTTTCGAAAATTTTAATATTTTTTCTTTCAAAATTTAGATGGGGTTCTGATGGGGATTTCCCTATTGGGGCCCAAGAGGGATTGCCCAATGAGGGCCACATAGGGCTTTGCGTTACATCCCTATGTGTGGTCCCCATTGGGCAACCCAATGGGGACCCAATAGGTCTTACATTAAAATTTCTAGTCGGGTATAAAGTGAATTTTATATCGATGAAATCTATCTTCCATTTCGGGTGAGGCCGAATGGAATTTTTAACAGTGTATACGTCTTAGAAAAATATTGTCTAACTCATAAAAACGAAAAATGTATAGCCTACGGCGGTAGTTGGTTTTTCACGAGCATCGGCGACTTCATATGGGTATAACTTTACTTTCTATAGAAATTAAAATCATTCACATATCTGATGAAATTTAATGATTAATTTAATTTTTTACGATAAATTGTCTATAAATCATAGCAACGCTGAGAAATTTTCTTGTATTTCGGATGTTGAACAATTTTTTTAAATCCTCAATCTTTATGTATATTTTGTTGATGTATATTGTGTTAGTATTATTTTTTGTAGTCTAGTCGTTTCGTATCAACCATTGTCGACAAATCTCATGTATTCAAATAGGGGAGGTTGTTCATCGTGACAACTGGCTTATAGTAGTGGGGAACCTTTGCAATGCCCGCCCCTTTGTAGCCGCCCCTCGGTGACGAAATCTAAATCAATTCGTTGAGTATCAGCTTTTGTACTGCTCATTCTTACAACTAACATGATCATATAAACTCAGATTTGTTTTTTTATCTGCTATTTTTGATTCACACGAAATTTGTTTTCATGTTAGTGAATCATTTCGTCTTGAAAATAACAAAGTGAAAGTGTATGAAAAATATTGTGAATATGTTAATAGTGTTATGCAAATATGTAAAAGCAAAGGATTTTAAAAATTATCAGTTTTTTTCAAATTATGCATGATGGCTATATCTTATTTATGTTATCAATTGGACTTTTTTTACTTGAAATCAAAGCTTTAACAATTCATTATAATGTGGTGATAACAACCGAGTAATAAATAATGTTATTGTTTAAAACAAATAAACATTCAGCATTGTTTGTAATATGAGGTCAGTGTTAGTAAATCATTAAGAAATATATACATTGCACATAGATTTAGATCGTATCAACATTCTTTAAAATCCTTGACAACTGGCAAGATTCTTCAAATAAATAGCAGTGCTATGAAGAAAAAAATCTAATCCAAATGAGGAAAAAATTGTTATCACTGAAAAACTAACTAATAACTGAATGATAAATTGCCGAGATAGCATGTAGAGATAACTTGAATGATGTTTAAATTAAGTTTATTGTGGAGTAAAATTTAGGTGTAACAGAATAATATCATGTGAAATAATAGCATGGTTTTGCGAATTGTTCTAAATATTTTAAACTTTAATAAATAAAATTCATAATAACTTTATTTTTTTTAATATTCATAAATTTTATTTTAAGATAAGTGTGCATAGTATAACTATAAATATGGATTCTAGTGTGATGTCAAACACCTCTTGTGATGGCGGCATAGACAGTGATCGAAATTCTGATAGTAGTAGTATGATTGTAGACCCTGTAAGTCTTGATCAAAAAGATTTATCATCTCGTCTAAGTAAAGGCTTTGATGTATCATCTCATTTTGTAGAAATAGCTACAACTACGGTGAAATCTCGTAATAGGAATATTAAAAAAACATTGACGATGATATCTGAAACACAAAAAACTGAACAATCTCCAACGTATACGGCAGAAAAAATGACTTCAACACAAATCAAACCACCGTATTCATACATTGCTCTTATAACAATGGCGATTCTTCAATCACCTCAAAAGAAACTTACTTTAAGTGGTATCTGTGAGTTTATAATGGCTAGGTTTCCGTACTATCATGAAAAATTTCCTGCTTGGCAAAACTCAATACGGCATAATTTATCTTTAAATGATTGTTTTATAAAAATACCGCGAGAGCCTGGAAATCCAGGTAAAGGGAATTATTGGACATTAGATCCATTAGCTGAAGATATGTTTGATAACGGTAGCTTCTTGCGACGAAGAAAACGATATAAGAGACCACCACCACATTATGTCCTTCGAGATCGTGCTATAATGGCAACATTTGCAATATGTGGAGATCGTAATGGCTACCCTGTAGGTGATCATTCTGGAGGATTTGCTTATCCTGGTGTTTCTTCTAATGCTTATCTTACTCCTCCACATCGACTTCCAATCCTCGATTTTCCACCGTCGACGCTAGAAGCTCTAAAACTAAGTGCTTTTATAGAAACTCCACCACCACTGTACAAGCCTGTACCAATTATTGCACCTCATCAACATATTCGTCAATTAGTTAATAACACAACATCAGCACTTCCAATGACAATGACGACAATGACGAGTATTCCTGGTCGACTTGCTATTTCTGTAACTTCTGGTGCTGTTGATAAAAAAACAAGCTTCAGCATAGAAGCCCTTATCGGCAAAAAAACTCAGTCAGATCAAAACATTAATGATCTCCTTGATCTTAGTCCCTCTGAGCAACGAGAAATAGGCAGTCAAGCATCTGCTTTTTCACCACTTGTTTAATCATCTTTGATTTTAGAATGGTAAGATGTTCCCCGTTTTTTTCTACTTTACTTTACACTAAAATTACTGAGGAATTTACTTTTTAGAAAGATGATTAGAAGACCATCAATTAGTGTGAGTGTTTATTGAATATAAATTCGTCAATTTAAAGAAATTTCAAAGTTTATATTCTACCGAAGATATAATGTTAAAATAAACTAGGTAAGATGTATATTTATAAAAAGATAGTTAATTTAGGTATACTAAAAAAAGTTTATTGTAGGTGAATTTTTTACATCATTAATAATACACTCCTCACGTATGATACATGTGAACACATTATTATTGTGAAAGACATTACTTTGATGCAATCAAGATATAACAATTTTTGTAAGTGTATAAAAACTTAACCAATTGAATCAATAATTTTTTTCAGCCATTTCTGAAATGGCATTAACTGAAAATTATTAAATAATAGTTAAACTCTGTATTTATGTTTCAAATATGTTGTTGCTGTATTTCTTTATAAAATCGCGATCATATTTATATAATAAAGTTCATCCTTATGTTTCTGGAATAAATGTCAATAAACATTTTGTATGTTAAAATCGAGTTTTCTATTCAAATGTATATTTTATTCTCATTCTTTTTCTCAGCTTGCTGATTGCTAAAGGTATGTATTTGAAAATATATTGGTAGCTGTAATTTTTTATTTTGATAGATTCATTCGATTAAATTTTTTACTTTATTTATATAGTTGTTTATGTTATACAGGTTTAATTTAATTGATTATTCTTTTTTTTTAATATGTAAAAACTTATAATATAAATGATAATTACGTTTGTGACTCTGATTTCACCCAGTATACGCCATAAATGTATCGTGGATACGTCGTATATTTAGCTCATTCATACACAGTGTAAGCTCAAGCTATTAACCGCGTATCAAGGGTGTGTATACTGTGTCTACACAAAGTACTTTTTTCCCAAAAAATATTTGTATAATAAGGTCGAAAATAACTTTCGTTTACTTTTAAACATTTTGGAAAATTAAAAAAAAATTTCCTCCCCATTTCTGATTATCGAAGATACACACTAAATATATTCTATTTTTACTGTGCAATACTTCGTGAATATACCGCGTATACCTGTGTCTAAATAGCACTGATAAAAGGTGTATACACGTTATATACAGTGTACACAGAAACAAATAAATGATAAAATATGCTCAGATTCTGGTTACATTGTACTTTTTTAAATAGACTGTTGGACTATATATTACGGGGTGGTACTTTAATTTTATTCATTTTTTAGGTAGATTTATTTAGAAATCGAACTATTGCATTAGTCCTCAAGGTGAAATTTTCACCTGATTTTGTTATCATATGTTATAATTAGTCGAGTAGGTTCCAAACATACCATTGGTTAAAAAATTTATGTATGTATTAGAGTGTATCAAAAAAATCGACTATTTTTTTTTTTTTCAACGAATAATGAAAAATCGTTAGAGTATCTCTAGAAGAAGATTCTCTGAAAATATGAGCTCTTAATATTAATATTTAGAGATGGCGTCATGTGATTTCTATTTCCCATTTAAATAACATAGGAAAATTTTTTTTAAAGTTTGGAATTTTGTACCATGATAACGAGCTATTTTATAGGTTAAACACTTATCAGTCCTTATAGGAAATTAAATGCTCTACAAAAAAGGTCTGATTGACATTTTGCGTAAGTCAAGCCGATTCAAAGATATCAAGCGTCAAACTTCAGACTGTTAAAAATTGCGCTTAATTTATTTTTTTAAACAAAAAAAAATCAATTTATATGTATTAAAAATCCATTATCATCAATTTGAGAATAAATATATGAATATATCTAATAGAATGCATATCCAAAATTCTTAATAATTTTACAAATGCTAATTTTTATTGATTTTCAGCGAAAAATATTTACTTACGTAAAAAATGTGGTACAAGTTTCAAATAAAACTATTTATATTATGTAATAATAATTCATTTCAATTAATAATAATGGATTTATTGGCTTATTAATAAATTAAACAGTAACAACAGTAAAATACAA